TAACAGTGCATGACTGAAAGTTACGGGTAAAATTTATTTCTCGCTCTGTGTTTGTTTACTGGAAAAAGCGACTCTCTTTGGTGGTAGTATTGTTGAAATGAGTATGTCCTAGCATTTCATCTAGTGTCTAAGTGGTTCTAGATTTGACCAATTACCTTGAGGCATTGAGATTGTGTGATGATGCCTAGAGTGTGTGTTGATGATAGTGCGTGGGTGATGAAAACATTATTCTTCTCCAGACGATTGAGGATGTGATGTTCATCTGATAAACTTGTAATCGCAGCTAATTATAAGAACCTACCCTGGGCATTGTCATTTACTTAGTTCTATCGCACTGTCATCTCAGTGTAGACAGGTGATGGGAGTAGGTATTGTTCTCACTTTCTGCCAGGTGATCTTATTCTTATGCTAAAACAACAGAATGCGGCTTAATCATTCTGAGCAAGTTTATAAATGAAGGTCAATCGAGGCGCCTTTGCTTGGTATCACACGGTGGTAATCAGCTTTCATACACCTAGCTCAGCTAGCTGATTTTAATCTATTTTTTTGTCAATGTTGCTTTTAACTTATTCTGAAATTGATGGTCCCGGTCAAATACCTGCCAAGACTCATTTAGTGTGAAAGGAACTATGTGGAATGTTTTCCGCCAGCTTTACATATTTTCTTCTGGAACTGAGTTGTGTGGAAAGAGAAGAGATTTCAGAGACAGCTATCTGTGATACTTGGACACAGAATAAGACAGCAGGGCACATTGAGATGAATATAGCGATGCTTTTTATATCAAAATGAGTCCTATCATTGCTTTGATAGGTTGAGCAGCCAATCCAACTAGAGTCCGACACTCAGTTACGAAGCATTTTGTTTTCTGGGAGTAGACACCAGTGAGAATACATGCAGAGGCACCCATGCATATAGTCACAACTCTTGCTTTATTATACAATTACCTTGCATTAACCAATTCTTCAACTTGTGGTAATTGATGATTATTTATCAGTTGCGGATGGACTTCATGAATTTATCAATCTTATTCCAAGTGTATCAGTTAAAAGTGACGGAAAGCGAGTTCTATTGAGTTATTTTCTTCCTGATTTTTTGTGAAAAAAGGTGATATACTGATTAGGGTACTTAATGTTTTACATATCATGACCTCAACTAAGGCACCAGGTAAAGTGTACGTGAATCACATGCTTGAGTATTGCAGCATTATCCATGTAACCTGCATATGGGGATGAGACTGTCCTTACA